CCGAGGAACACAAGGACGGAGACGCAGATGAGGATGTGGCAAGTGATGAGGAAGAGGACAACGAGTCAACTGGCAGTGTGAATGAGTTTGCGCAGCCCACACCCGGAAACCCTAAAGCTTTGGGATTGGATATACTCGTCGCCACGCCCGAGCGACTACATCACTTACTCGAATCAGAGAGGCTCTCTCTTGCTTTGTGAGTATGGCTGCGTTCCTTTTTCTAATCTATGCCCACCAGATGAACCATTATTCCCAACAAGCGTCCAGTCTATCATCGTAGACACTGCTGACTCGTGATTGCCTTCCTTGCAGGACCCGCCATATTATTCTTGATGAATCCGACCGACTTCTCTCCCCCGACTTCCTGCCCCAAGTCGGACCCATTTTGGCAGCTTGCAGTCATCCAGAAGCCCAGAAGTGTTTCCTGTCCGCTACGATGCCCTCGGGAGTCGAGGTGTTGGCGAAGAAGTGGCTGAAGGATGAAGGTGTTCGAGTTGTCGTTGGTGTCAAGTGAGTGTGGTGCTTGTAACCTACCTTCACTAGGCTTCACGATCAAGGCGATTGCGACATCAATGCTAATGCTGATCTATGTGTTCCTCTCTTTCTCTATCGCATTCGTAGGGATTCCGCCGTCACCACCGTCGACCAGACCCTCTTATATACCGGCTCAGAATCCGGCAAACTAATGGCCATCCGTAATCTTATCTCCACCGGCGGCTTACCTTACCCATCCCTAATTTTCGTCCAGTCCATCGAACGAGCCGACGACTTGTACAAATCGCTCATCCTGGACGGGATCAAAGTGGACGTCGTACATGGTGGAAGGGCGAAAAGTAAGAGGGACGAAGCTATCAAGGCTTTCAGATTGGGACATGTTTGGATGTTGGTCGTCACTGAGGTTCTGGCTAGGGGCATGGACTTCCGAGGGGTCAAGGTTGTCATCAACTATGGTGAGTATCGCTTTGGTAGTATGACCTACCATCAATTATACACTTCCCATAAGTCTCCTTCTGGCCGTCATCCATACGGCCAGATGCTAACTTTGTTTCATATGACGCGATTCTCGCGTTGCAGATTTCCCCCAAACCGTCCAATCGTACATCCACAGGATTGGTCGAACAGGCCGAGCCGGCCGACCTGGAAAAGCCATAACATTCTTCAACATCGAAGACTCACCTTATCTCCGTACAATCGCCAACGTCCTCCGATCCTCTGGATGCCCCGTACCGGACTACATGCTCGACATGCGTCCTCCGACCAAGAACCAAAAGCGACAATTGGCTAAAGCGCCCGTGAAGCGAAAGTCCGTCGGGGGAGGAGGGAGGGATATTGGAAGGGAGAAGGGCAAAAAGAAGAAGGAGATGATTGAAGCCTCCAAGAGGAGGAAATTGCAGCAGAAGGGAGGCGCGGGTGCGGCACTGGCATAGAATTAGGTGTCTCCGTCCGCGACCTATTGTATGACACGAGACTTGTCTTAAATGCATAACGGTGGTATATGTGTGCGGGGTATATGTATCTACAACTCGTCCACTTGTACTAACGAGCGCTGCTCTTTGAGAAGCACTGCCGTACGTTGGAAAATGGAAACTATGGTATACTGAGAACAGCTGGACGGGCCACTGCGCCATACTGCCTTATGCCACGGCCGCAGCGGTTCCGAAATCCAAGTCAACGGTAGCCATCAGCTCGTCCCATTCCTCTTCATCTTTCTGCTCCTGCTCAAGCGGTCGAGCCCACTCGATCACTCGAGGGTGAGCCATAACCCTACGGAGCGACATTCCTAAGTCAGCCTGGCATTTGGCATTTTGATAGGGTCGAGAGGCAAACAAGCTGATCCAAGGGATAAGGGCACGACCCTCAAAACAGCTCACTTTTCGCGTCTGAAGTTTTGTATTTCGAGGCTTTCCAAGCTGACTGCTCTGGAGATTGCTACATATGTTTGACCTGCAAGGTGTTTGAACATGATCATGAGCCCGATGTTCAACATGCTGAAATGTCTCCGCTACTCGCTAAATCTTTGTCCTGCTCACCTTCGACGAAGATTTTATCGAGATCAATCTTGACCCGTTCGATCGTTTGACCTCTATACAACAGCGCAATCAAAAAGATGATTCGTCAGTCATACCTGTAGGTACTGTGCAGTAACAGAATGTGCCGAATGAAGAACCACTCACTGAGATTTATGGATTGTCAGAGCCCAAGCCAGGATTAGTGGGATCTGCAACCTCGTCGCTTCCGCTTTGCCCCTGCATCTCAAGGCAGTCAGCACAACTCTCTCTTGTGGGACGAGGACGGGGAGAGGTGTCTGAGGACTAGAAGAGCATAGTCCTATTGAGTGAGACTCACTGCGCATTCATCACATCTACCGTCATTACCGGTATCACCACCTTCTTCGCCTGTTTCCCAGAGGCGTATTTCGCAGGAACGAACTCTACAACAGGCCAAGCAGTCATTGGATTTGGAGCTGCTCCGAACGATCCTGCAGGAGGTGATATTCCTTGTGTGGCCGCTTCGGATATAGTCAGGAAGTCGACCACGATACCTAAATGTGATGTATTGCTTAAGTCAGTTAATGCATTTGTCGGGGAACGATACGTATACGCGAGTGAGACTTACCCGTGGATCCGTTAACCAGCACGCCGTCCTGAGAACGAATCATGTTGACATCACATTGCTGGCATGTCAGCGGAAGAAAAGCGCCATTTTGAGCCGGAACAGACCTGACTTACACTCATATTCTGAATGACGTCCATTACATGTCAGCACAAAGAAGGATAAACAACTATGATAATCGTATAAGCCTGCTCACCGTGACAAGCATGACCAACGCCCCGACTTTCAGAGACAATGTCTCGGGCCAGAGTGTGTTCCGATTGAGAGACAACGTCGCCTGTTGCTGGTCGAGCATCAGACCGCTAGAATTCAATCCGGCAATATCGTACGCTGTGAACTCTTGCAAAGGTGTTTTCAAGGCTGCCAGGCGAGCTTCGTTGATCGCTGCTACTTCGGTTTTCAGCGGGTATCTGCGCCAATGCCTATCAGCTCTCTAACGACCGATAGATAGAATTGGTTGGCTCATTAGGTCACGACTCACAAGCCGACTGGCTCGATACCCTTTGGATAATCGACCTTCCTACTGAGACCTCGCAGGACCTGAACATGTTCATCTGCTATTGTCCCTCTCCTCATCGCTTCGAGAATTTTAACGAAGCTATCATCCTTCTGCCTGAAAACCCTAGTCAAAGAACTCATATTCGATCTCGGGAAGACGCTCGACCACGAGTCGGCTTCGAACGCGAATCGGAATGTGGATGCTCCTTTAGCCACGGGTGGAAGTTGGAAGAAATCTCCTGATAAGATCAGCTGTAGTCCGCCGAATGGACGGGGATCGCGTCGAATCTTGCGGGCGATTGATTCTAGCTTGTCGAACAATGTCGCATCGATCATAGAGACTGTACCAGTGTCAGCATCAGCATGATCACCGGACAATTGCCTGCAGCTGAGTTGAATACGAACTGGCACACTGGATTCCGGACTCACTCTCATCAATGATCAATGCACCCGTTGTCCTCCAACGTTTGGCAGTAATGTGATTTCGCAGGATGTTCTCGTACAGCTTTTGAGTAGGAAGATCGCCTAGACCGATACCTGCCCATGAATGAACAGTCGTTCCGCCGATATTCCTAGCATAATAATGATGATAAAGTCGTCAGTGACATCTGGCCTGAGCTCATATACTCGTGGCTGTGTAAGTGAGTTAAGTGTGCCAAGTGGTTTCGCTCAATACTCACACTCCTGCCATACCTGTACTAGCCGTCACTCCCAATTTCCACTTCTTGACCTTATTCTCCCCTTTCCGCTTTCCAGCCCCATTCTTCCAATCAAGCACGTCCACCCAACCATGATCCATCCCACTCATCCTCTGTTCCCTATCTCTCTCCTGGAAAGCCTTGATGATTGCTCTCAGTAAGACTGATTTACCGGTACCTGCTGAGCCAGTGAAGAAGTAGTTCTCGCCGTCAAGTATCCTTTTGATGATCTCTTCCTGTTGAGAGCTCAACGCGGGCTCCTCCATATCGATTTGCGGTGTGCTGCTTCTACGGCCGCTGGCACTGGGCTCGTGCTTGATGCAAGGGGCAGGTTGCTTAGGATCGGACGTAGTTCGGCCTATCAAGGGGAGGACAGGCAAGTCGTCGTTGTTGAGATCCTCATCGGTAACCAGTGGTTTTGAGGGTTTTCTGACCAGGTTCATCCTCACAGCGACCGGATCAGATGGCCGATCCAGCTTAGCCCATCCCTACGATGACCGCACCGCACCGTTCTGATCAGCTTCAGCTTCAGCCTCAATGCCGACCTGAAGTCATGCAATGTACAGCACAGTCAAAGACCGATGGTAATGCCGGACTCACTCTTGCAGCGTGATAATTCGGGAACGATTTGTGCACGGCTCCCGGGTATCCTGCGACCTGCTTCTCCGTTTCCGTCCAAGTCATGTATACACCAGGACGTCGGCCGACTCTGACGGCGTAGTACTTGACTTTAGGCATCTTGCGGGATCCGACCATTTCGACCAACTTTGCACACAGTTTGATCTCGGTCTTCTTACACACGCGTGGACAGCATCTGAAAAGATTATGAGCGATATCAACAAGAGGGCATCCGAAGAACGAGTGAAATATGCCGAGCGTCGACAAAGCTAAGGTGATCCGGATATCTGTAGCCTTACTCGCACAGACATCGCGGAAATCCGAGCGGGCAAGTCGCGTCCAGGCGCGTCAACTTGTAAACATTTCCGTAATCGCGAGATGAGACTACCACGGTACATCGCTGGTAGCCCTCTTCTTTCTTCATCCGTCCAGTGTCATCATGCTTCATTCCTGATTCTTGAACATCCATGACGCCTTGGTACCAATAAAGTGTTTCACGCACAACGTTGAGGTACTCTACCTAAACAGAAACAAACGAGGGAGAAGAGCGCATTGGCAAAACGCCAAAAAGTCTGGCACCACCCGGGATCGAACCAGGGACCGCACGAATGAAGAATCGTAATGAACTTCAGTCGTGCGCTCTCCCAACTGAGCTATGTCGCCTCTGATGTTGGTCTTTTTTTCTATGCTGTATATATTGCTTATAGGAGGACTCAGCTTGTCGTGCCCGTTTCTCTGTTTTATCCTTCCTTTCAACTCACATCCCTATTCTGAGATGGGCTCACGCTGATCGCCTCGGGCTCGTAGTTGAGCCTAGCGCCCAGCTCTGCAGAGACCACCCGAATGAAAGTAGGTGATTATTCGAACCGGGTACTCTGATGGCGCTGATCGAGGTTAACCGAGCACCGCAGGCTCTTATCGACTATGTATCTCGCTTCATGCGTGTATGTTTTCCGCTTCCATGTTATGCTACACTGTATTAGCTACAGGATCTATAAGGGGGGTGCAGCGTACGATTCGTGGATGTCGTTAGAGTGAAGGACTTCTATATTTATGTCTATGATCTATGATCTTATTTGGTCGTATGTAAATGTCCGTGTATATCTTCCTTGAGGTGGACATGGGTCGAAAGGGTGAAGTGCTTAGCCTATGATTCTAGCTTAGTAGCTGAATATATATCGACGCTTCTTGCCGAAAGGATAAACGACTGCGGCAGCAGCAAACAGGCCAATGGCCAATCCAATACCGACCTGGACCATTCGAATACTATTCACATCGCAGCGAGGTCAATTATGTGATGAGAAGCCCCGCACCTCTTTGCCATATGGCTAACTCACCTAACGACGACGGCGGCGTTGATCTCTGATGAGCTGGAACCGCCAGACATATTCGAAGCATTATCCTGAGAGCTCGAACCTGAACTGCTGGCGCTGAGTCCGCCTGCGGCTGCAATTGCGTTCGGAACAAGAAGCAAAATGCCGACTACCATCGAAGGGAAAGCGGAACCGCCTCCCAGCCGAGAGTACAGATTACCGAGGATACTATTAGGCGCAAGTCAGCCATGAATTCTGGCGCCCTCAACGTAGGAGCCCAGGTACATCACTTACCCGAGAGTAAACGCTGATACCGCCGACACCACGTTTGACTGGTCAATTTGCTGTAAGTGGGAGCACAGACGTTAACTGCCATGTCACGCTGGGATCGTTGACCTTGCATTCACTCACATCTGTGAGAAAAAAGTTGACAACATATCCTGCACAGGCAACGATGACCATAACGAGCATGTCCTTTGATCGATAATCGGCCCGGAACCATACTGCTAGGGAAAAGGCGAAAAGCGGTACGAGCAGGAACAGCCACCAATCGCTCGCTGCGCATTATAATGGGAGATCCGAATCAGCTGTCAGCGCTGTAGAATTGGATCACGGGTCCTACTCACGCTCAGTATACCACCAATATGTCCAGTCAGGGTTCCGGTAACAGGCGACATTGGTAGCTTGTTCGGTAGTCGAAGATCCGTTTGTGAAGGTGAAGGTGCCTAGATTGTTTTTGACGTCAACACAATGCCAGAACCAAAGTGAAGCCGCCACAGACCGTTGTTGAAAGTTTGATCCCAGTAGGTGTTGTTGCTGGTAAAACTTCCTTCGATAGTCGCCATACTAGGAGTCGAGGACATATTCTCAGATGGCTGTGATGGGCCGAAGGCGTCCCATATCTCACTGCCAATACCAAGACCTAGAGAAAGGAACAGGGTGTACACAACTGCCCAGACCAGGCGACTAGTGGCACGCTAAGTCAGCGTTGTCCTCGAACCTGAGACTCTTTGGAGAAAGGTGACTCACATTGCGCCGGCAACAATGTTCTTCGAACCCAACTCCAGGGCACCCATGCATACGTGCCATCCTGGCAGAATGAGCACAATGGCTGCCGAGGCCAGGGATTGGTAACAGAAGTAGCTTGTCGAACCCAATCCCCTCTGAAACCATTCGGGGAATTAGCCCAGATACCAGCGCACCACGAACCACAAGCCCACTCACGGCAGCGAAACTCAGAATCCCTGCCATACCAATCTCGAAGATGTTTGCGACCAGCTTATTCTTCTCTGCGATAGTGAACTGAACGATCGCCAGCAGACTTCCCAGAGCACCCGATAAGAGGATGTCGATGAATGAGCCTGAGAACGCGACACGAGCTGACGTGGCCGATGCAACAGCGGCAGCAAGAATCAAACAGAGACGAGAATAGGGGGTTGTCTGAAGGAGGGTCGATGTATTCATCAGCTTGATCTCGCAAAGCTCGACCAGGTCACACAATACGACTCACGCGTCTCTCGATCCGTCTGAGTACCCGACATCCTTGACTAGCCGAGATCTCGTCGTGGATTACCCGCCTGTATACTTCATGTACCAATGAGAGCCGGTACAGCTCGAGTGCACCGCTAGGTCGAATGAATAGCACATCCGTCGAGTGTACGTCGGAGTCACGGAAGGCCACAATCAGGATGGAGGGGAAGTAGATGAACGAGGCTTCGACTTGAAGGATGTCAGCTGTGGCAGACAGCCAAGCTTCGACAGAATGAGCAGGCGCGCCGTAGCTGCAGAGATGGTTAGCACATAGCCATCTGAAATTGATCTCCGCTTACCTAACAACAGCTTTTGCTAGCATTTCGATGAATCTGCAAGTGAAGAAGAAGGTTCATCAGTTGAGAACATGGATCGAAACGATGATGTGTTTACACTCACTTCTTTCTCTGAATGATGCTGGTGACATGCTTGGTCACAGCCAGTTCCTTCTGCACCCGCTTCCCTCGTCTTCGCCTCCTTTTCCCTCGTATTTTGAGATTATCTGGACCAAGGCCTTTCTCCAGGTCTGTCTCGCGAGTAGAGCCGAGGGCCTCGTCTTCTCGTCTTTCACTATCTTCCTCCCTAGCTTGTCCTTCCCCAAGGCCTTCATACCAACTGACCTTTCGCTTACCATCCGTTGTCTCCGCGTCCACGCCTGCAGCAGGCGCGACGTGTGCCAGGGTGGGGCTGGCAGCCGCAACGAGGGAACTGGTGGTGATCAGCAAAGCAGCAAAAGCTCGTTGACTCCCCTCGGGCCCTGGTCCTTCGAAGCCTTGTTGATCAGTGGGATAACCAAACCATGTCGCACCGAGAGCATGAGAGGACATAAATTGTCGGAGCTTTTGTACGATGGTGATATTCGGAGGCGGATGGAGCACGTTAGAATACTTCGGCGAAGGGATGTAAGGCTGATTGAGGTCTTGGCTTCGATGCGGTAAAGATTGATGTCTTCTGTTCCGGTGGACGCGCTTGGATTCATGCTGAAGGCGCTCCTGCAGCTCATCTGCCGCGAGCCCTTCATCAAAATCGCCACTCCCCCTTCGACTGCCAGTTATACTCGAACTAGCTGAAGCGGTAGCGAAAAGAGACTGTGAGCTCCAGCGCCGTCTCACTCGACCCTTGTATCCGTACTCTCCATCTTGACCTCTCATTAAACCTCTCAATGTACCTTTCTCTCTGCTGCGCGTCTCGCTGCGATACAGACCAAGTAGAGCGCTGAGTACGCCTCCGCCGCTGACGTGCGTATCTTCGTCTGTCGATCCATCATCGGTGGATGCCCAGCCTGAGCTCATCGACGACCGGCCACTGGACTGCCGGCGTCGCTTAGGGGGCGACCCAGCGGAACCGGTGGAATGAAGCGAGGCTGCTGATGAGGAAGGGACGTTTGTATGATCGGAATCGGAGTCTGTATCAGAAATGGCTGTTGGAGGAGGTCTGCCTGTATGTTTGCGCACTAGCCTAGACGCCATCCGTCGGACTTGTCGTTTCTCCTTTTGATCGTCGTCCGCGTCTTCCGGCTCCGTAGACTGGCCCATGTCCACTACATGATGGTCTCTTAGTCTGCTTTTCCAGTGGACTTTCAGTAGGTCTGGGCGTCGAGCGAGCTCTTCGTCGGTCATGGGCGCACCAGCAGGCGTTTCGTGCTGTCGATTCCTACTGGAGTAGATACTCTGAACAGAGGGAGAGGGTGCCCTCGATATGTTCTCCTTGGGTGCTTCATGGTCGCAATCAGGAAGCTCTTGTTGCGGCGCAATTTTGTCAGCCGGGTCATCGACAGGGGAAGCAGGTCTGGTGGAAGACTGTGAAGGAGGGGTGGAAGATTGGGGAGTGTCGGGTATGGGTAGGGGTAGGGGAGAACCCGGTGCGTCGGTGGCGGCTGGAGGATGCTCTGCGTCGGGCGATGACGATACCATCTAGTATTGTGTCTGTAGTATTCAGTGAACAAGTGAACAGGTGAACATGAAAGAAACAGAAGAAAACAAAACGGCGAAAAGAAGAAAGTGAAATCTGCAGAGGCAGCCTGCTGACTAGATGTCACTCAGTTCCCTTAGGACAAGGACAGACAACACATAAGCTTCTTGGCAAAGAACTCAGGTGCCTGTGCTAGCACGCTGAATAACGCACAGCAGCCGACAGGTCCAGGCCAAGGAAGAATGTCATCCCCAACTGCGAATATCAAAAGATAGTGTTGGAACATTTTGCTGGAACCGAAAATGCAGAAAAATCCGACGAAATGACATCACCCTGGCCCGTCGCCGGCGGTAAAAGTGGATCAACGGCGCAAGACGCAAGGTTTCTGAAGAATCGTCTTCAAAGGGCAAAAATAGACGTCGTGTAAACCTGAAAAATAGAGGGTCGCCGTAATGTTGAGGGACCCTTTTTTCTTGTTTACACGTTTCCCCCTTGTCAAAAGTCAAGACAGACTTCGCCCCGGACTGGGCTGAGATCGAGCAAGTCTGTAACATGTCGGAAAAATGTCATGGAGCCCAGGTTGATGTATTTAGTAAACCGTCGTTTATGTCGATCCTTTGTGAAGCCATAGGAATTCTTTCATTATCGCTTCACACTCAGCTCCGACTTCTAAAATAGAGCGAAAAAAATGGAGGAATCAACAGAAGACAAATACTTGTCACAACCTGCGGCCGCGCAGAATGATCCTGCCCGAATCACCGATCAAGCGACGTTGTTCGCCAGTCCCTTACCGATTGTGGGGCAAAGAAAGACCACCACCCGGAAGGAACTTTGGGTTAGTACCCCCCACCTTCATCGTTATCACATCAGCGTCTGGCGTGCTCTGCGCGGCAATAGCTGACCCACTTC